GCCTTCTCTCGTTCGCCGTCTCGCGTTCCTGCCGAGAGAACGTCGTATAAAACCGGAGAATGTGAGGATGTTCTTTCGTTAATTGTTTGATCAGAACGAACGCGACGACGTTGTGTTACTCGCTAACGGGAGTGCGTAATTGTGCGTCGTCGTGCAATTGTTTTCAATCGAGTGTGGACAGTGTGTGCTCCGAAATGTGCGACGCGTTCCGATAAAAATGTGAGTTTGAATGGGGACAGGTGAAAAATTCGCGTGTCACCGCAATGCAGAAGTTAAATTTTGCGAGAAGATGATGAAGGTGTTTTCTAACAGAAGCGATCGAAGTGCCTCGACGTTCGCGCAAACTGACCTGTAGACCACGAAGAATCGAAACTTGCTTTCTAATGCGCGTGCACGGTCGCGCGGCGCACCGTTACTCGATACGCTACAATTTACGTCGTATCCACGTGTGTTCGAGTTGATCGGATTTTCGAAAAATCGCACAGAGACGACGCGCGCGTGTGCAGAGAGAACCGTGTGTTTGCTTCTTCAATTCGTCAACTACACACGCTCGTGTGAAGCATCCCCGTCAACTTCGTCAATCCTCTGCGTCCATTGTTAGATCGGTGAGCGAACGTCTGTTGATTGAAAAACAAACAAAGCAACAATTTAGACGCGCGCTTTTAGTTTCTTTTATCGAAATACAAATTTTCCATCTGCAATCCTGCCGGTTGTTGAGACAATTAAATCCCTCGCGAAATTTCACGCGATTAATTAGCGCAACGGAAGCGATTGCGAATCTCTTCCGTCCGTTTAAGTGTTTTTTTTTTTTTTTCTTTCTGACGTGCTCGCATTCGCGAGATTTCAAAGCAAAAGTCCATGCCGGATAGTCGCGCTTTCTCCCCTCGCTTTCGCTATCGCTCCGCACCGCGAAAAGATAGGAAAGTTCAGTCGCGACGACCACAGTTGTGAAAGGTGGAACGGCAAAATGTAGATGTTGCTTTTAAAATGAGGAGGTTATCGACCGATCGACGAAATCGGTCGTTGTTGTGTGTTGTCGTCGTTTCTCTCGCGCCTAACAAACTTGTTGAAAAAGTTTGACGCGAGGCCGAACCGATAAGCGAATCAATCGATATACATCTTGGGATCGCGGCTTATCGGATTTTGTAACTACGCGTTTCGACGAATCCGATATCCCGCTCTTCTGCGGAGCAAAAGTTTGCGTGAGAATCGGAATTCCTATCGGAAATATCTTGAGTAAACGCGTCGCTTCTATCTTGAAGAAATTTCGTTTATCTGTTTCACGAATTAAATGTATTTAAAAATTTATCCTCTGCCCTCCTCTTTGTGCAGTCGCTGCGCAAATCGGCGCAAAACACCTGGTGCTCGAGTTACCACGGATCGCGTCCTCAGGTTGCAAAAGGATTTGTTTTCCACGAGAACTCTTCCAGCTCGAAGCGATATTTTTGCAAAACATTGTTCCAAGGAGAAGTCATTCGGAGACAATTTGTTGAGACATTATTCAAAATTGTCACCGATCGAAAAAGTTTTCGGAATCGATTTCGGAAAGAAGTTTCGTATGCCAGATGTTTCAGATCACCTGTATACGCTATTTAAAAACGAGGGTAGTGGTTATATGGGACTCACATTAATCAAGCACCCCGAAGAAAAGGTAAATCCCACTGTGCGACCTTCATGCGTTACATCCGGGGTAATGCTAACGCCGGCTGTACTAAAATGTTGAAGTCGCATAATTCGAGAGGATCTGAGCTAAAAAGAAACCAATATTTCGGAAATGTCCTTGACTACAAGAATATGCAATTAGATATATGGGTTCCCATTGAAAACATTCAAGTCAACCTTGATGTGATCTTCATAACGCCACTCAAGGTCTATCGCATGTGCTTGTGTAAAGCATTCCTCAATCCCAAACAAATTGTTTTGTCTGAAACATTTTTCGAAATACCCACTTCCCTCGTTTTTAAATAAAGAGCGTACGGATCGTCTGAAACACCCTGTATAATAGCTACTCCGCGTAGTGCCGCGCAGTCAAAGAGATTCTCGAAGACGAAGAGATCTGTTGTGAAAATGTGCGGATACGCGTGAAACGCTTCTTCTTTTTCTTCGTAATTTTTCTATTTTACCGCTCGATCCCCCCCTCTTCGACGTGTAAACATCGGGTGATGTTCAACAAAACATTATTCGGTAGGAAATATGTTAATGCACGGCGCTGTACTTTGGCACTAATTATATTTTCACGCACGTATTACAAAAAGTGTGCGTGTGTCTCGCAGCATGTTTTATGCAACATCGATGACGCGTCGGTCAAACAAGCGTTCCATCGGATTATGCGCGCTTGTAAATTGATAGCGCGAAAGTGAGCATGCGCTGACCACCTGTTAGCGGGATAAAAGCGTCAAAAACCGATGAGGAAAGAATACGAGATGAGATAGGGCGCGAGATGATGATGACAGGAAAAAGTCGCTTGAATACTGACAGCCGCAGTTTTGACACTTGCAGTCTTTTTTCGACATTTCTCTCATTTAAAAGTTTAATGTGTGTGTGTGCGTGTGTGTGCACTTTGTCGGCCGCTGAGAAGCGCTTAGGATAATCGACGTGAACACAAAGTGTTCGTAAACTCGTCCGGTCATTTCACTTAATGACACTGTTTGCCAAGAAACTCCGTCTCTGTTGTTTTATCTCCGTTCCATTGAGGCTTAATTATTTTCCTTTTTTCTTTTTTTGTTTTTTTTTTCTCAGTATTTTGGATGAAATTACGTTAAGTGATCGATGATAAAGTATATCTTCACGATTTGTCATTTGTTTTCTTCTTTTTTTTTTTTCCACGTCCGGATATTAATATCGCGATTATTATTCACTTTGTCGTTATACTCACTTATAATTTCATTATTAAGAGGCTTAAATTCCGTCATGTTGGATGATTTATGTTAATGCTCGGCGATTATATATTTCCGACAATGTGTTTTCTTATCTTTTGTTTTTCTCCTTTTGCTTTTGCGTCTTATTATTTGTGCGAATTGTAGAGAACCGATAAATAGACACGCATAATATTTCCGATGATTAAGGGGGCCACTCTCCTCAAAAGAGCGAGACAGTTTTCATCTTTCCGATCGTTACGCGGAGATTTATAAGACGTTCCCCGAACGCGATCCCAGACTTCCTCGAGAGAAAGAGAGAGCGAAGGAAGAGATGCGCCCCTTTTCAGAATTGGTACCGCGAAACCTATATCCGCGTCTATAAAGCGCAGTGAACGCGGGTGAACCGGGTGCAACGAACTCTTGACTCCGTATCTTTTTCTTTCTCCCTCTCTCTCTCTTTCTCTCTCTTCAACGCTCCCTCCCGGCCACTGGGCATCCCAACCCATCCCCTCTATAACTAGCCCTCTTTCTCTCTTTTTCTCTCACGCGCGCGCTTTCTGTCCCGCTCCTTCGTCTCGTATCAAGCCGCGCGCGCGAGTTGAGACCGATTTTCGCGTGTCGCTCGCTCGCTCGCGTGTCACGCTCGCCCGATGACGTCGAAAAACGGAACGACGACGCGACGATTCTCGACGTGGAAAACTTCATGCGATGTTATGCGCGATATCAAGAGAGAATCGCGATAGCGGCGTCAACGTGGCGTGACGGGGAAGAGTCATTGCGTTTAATGCAACTCAACTGGCGCACTGGAGCACCGTAATGAATAGCCCGCGTTGAATGCCAACCGTCATCGCGACGTGTGTTTTGTATTGTCAGATCTAGCGTCGAGAGATTCGCGCAATTTAGCTGAAAATCTCGCGCGACGTTCTCGATCCCCACGAAGCTCTAAACGAACGCTCTCTTTTGGTGTCCCTCCGCCGCTGCCGCCGTCGGCATAGAGGCGGTTCGACGGAGTCAATCCCCTCTCCCCCTTTGAACCGGGTTGGTTCACAAGAGAGAAAAATCGATCTCTCGCTCCAAGGGGCGTTTGTAAGAATGCACTTTGTGTGTGTGTGTGTGTATATGTTTTAACCGAGGAGACAAATCTCGCAACTTGGTCGACATTGACTTCTTCGCTTGGACGAGTAACGTGGAAAGAGAGTGGAAAGATTTCTCCTCACAAGTTCCGATTACGAATAGAAACCCGCCAAATGAAACCCACGAGCCTCCACGATGAAAAACACACACACACACACACACATACACGCTCGCTAAATTTATATTTGCCGCAACGTTCGTCTGTTGGTACATATCGTGGAACTTTTGCGGAACTTCCATTAATCGATCGTCGATTTCAAGGTCGTCATCTTCCGCACGCTAATCACGGCTAAGTTCGCCGCCGTTTCGTCCGGCAGCGGAAGTTCGTCCTTTCACATCCCGCGACCGTAAAGTCGTTTGATGCGCGTTTAATCGGCGCGCCGATGAGACGCCGCGTGCGCGCGCGACGTTTAATTATAGCGCGGCTAATCAGGTCGTGATATGAGGATTTTATTTACGTCGCGCAACACACGTCGTCGTGAGGACATCGCGAATTAATAAGCGCGATCGCGCGACGTGGTCGTGAGAATGGCCGTTTATATTACGCCGCCCGTCTTGTCCTTGGGACCCCCGATAACCATTTTCTCTAGGCAAGGTCGAGACTTGAAAACTTTACTGGATATACCGTTTTATCGATTTATCCCCGTTTTCTCTCGGAATGTTTTACAAAATCGACCTTTTAACGATAAAGTTTATGAGCGCGCTTCGTATGTGTGTTTTCCTTGAGTGGGAAATCACGTAAGAAATTTCTTATCAGTTTAATTGCGCGAGGAATAAGATTTGTTTTCACAATATTCTCTCTTTTACTATGTGTGTGTGTGTATACCATACATGTATTTAATTTTATTACATACATTTATAATACATAATTTATACAATTTTCTGCCGTTGAAATCATCAGCAAGATTAGTTTATTCTTATATGCGCGCGCGAAAGGTGTTTGTTTTATTGTTTGTGTGAAGAATCGCGTCGCGCTTTAATCGTCGTTGTGTTTTTATGTGTTCGCAGGTTGAACAAAATGCACGCGATGGAAGGTGCGGTCGAAAATAGGAGAAATGTGAACACCGCGGAGGACGACAAGTCGGCGAACGACACGCTGCCGTCGTCACCGAAGATACCCCAAAATCAGCAGAACGGCGCCGCCCTTCCGGAGGAGACCGCCGCGGCGCCAGCAACGGTGGCGAGCCACGCTCATCCCAAGAAGGAGACGATCGCGAAGAAAGCTGAGAAAACGAAGAGCTCGCGATCCGACGCCGAGACTCCGGACACAAAGAACAGGCAATTACTTGCGAGCACGTCGCAAGAGAAGATCAAAAGCGTCGTAGCCCAGCAACGTCCCACCAGCGCCGAACCGGTCGAAGCTATTAAGAAGCGGAAATCCACCAATGGGCAACTGTCCGTTGTTGGGAACCCTCGAAAGAAGCTTTGCGTCGATAAGCGCGAGGAATACATCTTGGAAGTCGTCGGCGACGACAACGACACGATCGACGAACTGGTCGCGAGGGCCAATGAGCTAAAAGCTGAAATCTTCGTAAGTGCACGGAAAAAAAAAAAACATTTGTAATCTATCGAAAAATTATTCTTCGTTCAGCGTTTGTATGTTTTTTTTTTTTTTTTTGTTTTGTTTGCTAATCCATGCTGTGCTATTTGCAGGCGCTCAAGAAGCTAGCGAAAACCAAAGAAACGGAGTGGAACGACATTCTGAGCAAGAGAAAGCTCAAAGAGGAAGCGTACTTACGGCTTCAGAGAAAGATACAGATAACAATGTATATGGAGAACGACGGCCAATTGGAAGAGTTGCCGCCAACTTCTTCGTCGTTCGACTCTATGGATTGGGAGAACAGCGGCGGCGCAACAACCGTGTCGAAGGAGAAATCACAGATCGTGAAGAAGGAAAAAACGACGAAGAACGTCTTGCAGCGAACAACTCCTCCGAAAACTAACGGGGAAAGTACTCGTAAACAGACTGAGATGTCAAGCTCGGAAATTCGACAGATCGGAGAAGGCCGTCAAGGCGCGATAGTGGATGTCAAATCTATTATCGCCGATCACAGGCTCAAACATCCCGACTCCCAAGTTCCTAGGAGGTAATTAAAAAAAAAAAAAACACTTAAAAGCGAGAACATAAAAAATAAGTCAAAGCCTTGCAAATTTGATTTTTTTTTGAGCGTTTACAAAATATATTCATAAAAATGTATCTGTAATTTTTTAATATCGCAGAGGGCGGAGGATGAGAAATTCGGTGAACATCAACCTTGGGACTGGCGGCGCCATGGTGGAAACGGTAATGCACAACACCGACTCGAGACCGTCTAGCGCGGAATCGTGCAAGAGCAATCCACCTGATACTGTGAACTACGCTAAAGACATGCTAATGCAATTTGCCAAAATGAGCCAGCAAGGTAACGTCCGTTTTTGTTTTCTTGATTTTTAACCTTCGTGTGAGAAGCATCGATTTACGGCTGATTGTTAAATTAGCATAATCTATAGTCGCTATTAAACATTTGTGTTTAGGTGAACCAGTTAGAGTGCCGCAGAATTACCCGAACGTGACGCTTCATCCGGTTGCGTCCTTATCGGCACCTCAGAACACCGCGCCTCAACCAACCGGCTCGTTACTTCATGGAATTCTAACGAAGAAGACGCAGTCGCCGAAACCCGCTACCAGTTTGTCGCCTACTTTAGCAAGATTACTTCAGAATTCCCCGGCAAACGCGGCAACGGCAGTGGCGTCTACCTCACAGCAAAGTGCCACGACCCAGCACTTGTTCCAGAACTACCAAAATAATCTTGACATGAGCCAGTTTAACAATATCTTGTCATCTTCCAAAGTTTGTAGTTTTGTTATTGCTTGCAATTACTGTCTTATTTGCATAATTCGAATTAGCATATTAAACGAGACTTCTCTTTGTTTCAGGCTCGCACAGAGATAACTATAACTCCCGTCGTAAATACCCCCGCACAATCTCACTCTAACGATTTAATTCAAATGGTAAAGGATATGGCCTTTTTTTTTAGTTTTTTGTTAAATACTTCCGCGCACGTTCGTGTTCTGACTGTGTCACATTAAACTTTCTAGGAGGACGTAGAAGAAGAAACTGATGACAGGGGAGGCAGTTCGATCAGCGCCAAACAAGTAGTAAAAGATAATCCACCTTCACCGAGCACCCCGCCCAAATGTCAAGGATGCTTGGTTCGTCCCGCGCAATTTGTCTGCGCTGGATGCGCAAATCAGTGGTACTGCAGTCGTACATGTCAGGTACGACGTAAACACACTTACTGACTTATGTCAATTAATACTAATTAATATTCTTCTAATATTTGATGATTAATATTATAATATCGATGAAATTAGCTCGGCGCCTGGCAAACGCACTCCGACTACTGCCCGCCAGAATCGGAAAACGGCAAGACAAAGACCGGCGTTTAACGCCCGACATCCTTGGGCGTTCGATGTGTACAACGACATCAGGCAAGATACACCAGGCAAAGTATGAATCTAGTCAAGAAATGAAATGCGAAAGAATATACGAGTGTAATTTCATATCGAGTGATTGAGCGAGTGTGTGGCGCACGAGACGTAGAGACTTTGAGGAAAACGAAAAAAAAAAAAAAAATAATTAACGCGTCGCGTATTTATTTAAGTTAATCGAGAAGAGATACCCTCGTTGAGATGAAAGGAGAATGATGTTTTCGTTCTGCTGACGAATTTACTACGGCATTTACTGACTCCCTTTTTAAAGGAGGATATTCCACGCTACACTTTCTTCTCTTTACAGGACAAAAAACAAATCACAAAACTTCCTATACTTGCTCGAGCTGTAGTTGACAAAAATTTAATAAATATAAAAAAAAAACAATACTAATGATTATGAAACCGCGTGTTACATATAAGACTTTATCAAGTAAGCCGCGATAATTGATTTTACTAGTCGATAGTTTTCGAGTTCTTTGAAAAAAAAAAAAAAAAAAAAAAA